GGTAAATGGTATACTTATCTAAAAAAAAAGCCTAGAATAAAATATATAAATGTAGGTTGATCGAGTTCATACCATGCGTTGGAACAAGTTAGGTGCCTTAGGGTCACAATCATAATTCACATAAACATCAACAAGCAGCTGAGGAATTTTGCAAACTTTCTCAAGCATCCTAAAAAAAAAACTAGAAAGGTTAGATAATATAAAGCAACAGACTAACATGGTGATGACGATGACTGATGAGAATATACAGAAAAGTGAAAGCCTCACAAATAACTATAACTAAAGCCCCAGTAATTGCAACATCCACTCAATTAGAAAGGGAACCATACCGAAGAACACTAGTTTTTTGGTTAATGGGAAAGTCTGCACCATCCAATGACCGCAAAACAATCAAGGGAAAAAAGAGACCAATTTCACCCTAAAAGGAATTAGATAAAAGTACTCGGCAAAGATTTGTGATATCATAGCAATAATGCTTTATTTGAAAGAAATAGCTTAATAATCTGTAATGATAGTAGTCATACTTTAAGACTCTCTCGAAGCCGCAACAAAAGCACAAAAAATATCCCAGTAGCATACTGCAACATAGAAAAGCGTCAGAGACATTGTCATGGCAGATTCTTCTAAAAGAGGGTAAGAAAAGATATTATGTAGAAGCAAGATAACCTGAAATACGACAGGGGATTGTGAAATTGAAGCCTGCAGCAAAGCATATAAAAGATATGCTTTCACTGAATCAATGAGATACAAGTCCTTGGTAATGAATGGCTAACCCTCCCAACAAATCCTGCAATACCATAGGACCAGCAAATATGATCAAGGTCATTAGCTACCTATTCTTTATTACCGATAAACAAAGAGTTCCCCATATATCCAAACACAAATCCTTGCCAATAATAAGAATGAAAATAGAAAATATAACCTTTTGAAAAAAACTTGAAGCTTATAGAAAAAAATGATCCAACACAGTTGGAAAACCATTGTGTTCTACTATACAAAACACCAAACATTAAAACATAAAATTCATAAAGTTAACCTGCAGAAGCTCAAGAGACAACATCTGTGTCTTAGTGTCATCAGAATCTTCCTTCTTGCTCATCTGGAAGAAAAAACATTTCATGAAGGGAATCCTAGCAAAGATTAATGCATAGAGTAATAATTGGTGAAAGTATAAGTAGTACCTTGCAAAGGGTGCGGAACACTAGCAATGCATCACGTTTACCAATACTCATGCTCTCAAGTTCAATCCCTCTAGGATAAGTTTCATATTCATGATAGCAAGTATTGACGAACAATTTCAACAAAATATCAGCCAAAGTAAGAAGAACAGAAACTAACAATCTGGTAAAAATACTTTGGTACGTACCTCGTGACCTTTTTACCATCCTCAACATTCACAATTTTGTCAAGAACAGCCTCTAAAGCCTATAAAACACATAAGTTTCATCTTAAGAAAATGGTATAAACCTAAGACCCACAAATTAACGAATCAAACAACAACAAATAGAAGGATGCACCTTGATATCAGCAGCACCAGCAAGCTTTTGAAGTTCCTCAATAGATGGAAATGGGGCATCCTTAACCCAGTTAAGTGCATCCCCTAAAGTTGTTTCATTGTCATTTTGGTCCCCAGAGGAAGCTTCTTCTGCGTTTGAGGTGGAATTATCCGAAGAAGCAGCTTCAGTATGATGTGAAGAACCAGATGAAGTAGGGACCTGAGTTTCAGGTAAAAGATATTACCTTCTCCCAGATATAAGATGAAGCAAAAGATAGTTAAAAGCTTAGAGATGAAATTCCATACCACCCTCAGTTTCCATTCTCCTAAATAGGATCTAATCATTTGTGTTAGCATCGCCTTTGATGTTGCTTGGTTTATAGGGCTCTTGCTACAAATTCAAGCCACAAATCATGAGTACTATTTCAAAACAGAGTATCACTATCTTCAACAAATATAAATAACACCTGTGAAGACTAATATTGTAGCAGACTCTAATAATTCCAAGCAAAGGTTCCCCATGGACTGCAATTTAATTAGAAAATTACAACAAGACTCGGTTCTATACTAGAAAATAAACGAGATAACTAGGTCCTGGACAATGTACCTCTGAACTTCGTGGATGCTAAACAGTAAGAAGTACCTTCAGTACTTGCAGTATTGTACTGCAAATTGTTTTCCAGAATTAAAAATATGTAACAAGTTAAATAAGTTAAAAACGAGGTTGACAGACACAAGAGCCCATACCTGTCAGGAGAAGAATTATCAACACAACTGCAAACCATATGCAGAATATCTGTAAACAGAGGAACAGTTTTACCACATCTAAGCCAGGATCACCCTCCAGATGATCATAGGCAATTATTTCTGTGCTTATGGAAAAACAGATCATGTCAGTAATAATTATGCAAAACATAAAACATTTGAATTCCCAAAATCAATGGAACAAAACAAAAAAACTACAAAATAAACATGGAACAAAAAAACAATGAAAATAGCAAGCTTTCTTATGTATTATGTCTTCCCGTAATGTCATGAAAAAAACATAGAGAAGACTACAAAGCAGAAAATAAACACTCAAAAATAGTAAATCAAGAAAGAAAGCAACTACATACATGAAGACAATCCAAAGCTGGTTCAAGGATTTTCAAGTTCTTTGTCTCAAATGCAAGTTGAAGAGGATTTAGGACAAGCTCCACCTCAGGTCGTTCCAGGTGTACCCTGCACTTGCCAGGGCAGTGTGATGGTTCCACTAACACGCTGTGGCCCGATGGAACTACAAATAAAACAAAAAACAAAGATTGGAGGTCACCATCAGGTATATTTCTAGTTTCAGTTCCCATGGAACTACAAGCAAAAAAATGGAGTCATCTATATTGTTACAGTAGCAGTCATGATCACATTACCGCAACTGATATCAATTCCGTTACATTTAACAAGGGAATTTAGAGTGTTAGCTGAATCTTACAAAGGCTAAAGTGATAGGAAAAAACTTCAACTCTGAACTATATGGAGCCAAAATAATCACAAACAAATTGACCAAAAAAATATAAAAAGGCTATTCCATTGGGTTTATATCTTGGGTAAAAAACTAGGAACATAAAAAGGAATAGCATATTATAAGATTGCAAATAGAATAACCTTCCATCTCCAGGCAATGCCTGATTTGGCTCAGTGGATGAAGAAGCGACCCCTTTGTTTCGGACCATCTGAGAAAAAAAAAATGTAAATAAATGAAAGCATGACCAACCAGCAACAATTTAACAATAAATTAAAGGAATATATAAGTTCAAATATTAAACGAAACCAATAAAGATTCCATATACTAAATGCATGGATCTCGTTACTCTCCCACCCCTCCTCTTCTTAATATCATAGTTCCTATTTCATGCAGCAACCAACAATAGTGTCTTTTAAAGAATTAGTCAATTGGGGAGAAGAAGAAAAGATTAACAAAATGAACTGGGATCATTATCAATTTGTTGTTCCTTGTTCTATTTGAATAAAAACAATTTGGAAATGCTCACAGATTTTGCTGACACTCCTAATATCCGTCAGACTCGGAACAGAAAATCCTTCTTATTCTCATAAAATGTATAAGTAATTACTTATATACGAAAGGCATCAAGTACTCGTTTGAAACACCAAGCTTCTTAATCAAATGTTAGCAGAGATTATAACTTGTAAATTCCACAACTACTCCAAAATCCTAACTTATGCCTATGTACCAGTCTGACTGCATTTTAAAGTAATATTATAGTTGAAAGTGAATAAATATGGAAGGCGGGACTAAAATAACTAAATAACGGCAAAAGCAGGAGAAAATTCAATAAAGCACATACCAGTAATAGGAGTTAGGACCTTTTAAACTCACAATGATATTTAATTCACTGAAAACCAAAATTAGACTAACGAATAACAATACAAAGAAACATATTGAATGCGAAGAAATTATAATCAAACCATAATTATCAGATCAAAAGAATTACAATTACTGCTTCGGCCACAAAGAAACAATAAAAAGAAAAAGATCCATAAAATAAGATTTAAAAAGAAACTACAGATCTGACCTAAATAAGTTTGAATAGCCTTGTAAAGATCAGGATGTTTTTTGCTGGAACATTCCTTGAGCATCGACTCGAATGCTCGGCTCACAAATCCACCTGCCGCCATTTTATTATTCTCTTCTCCAACGCTTTGAATCCGATAGTTTCGAAGTGTCCTTCGCTGTCTCACCTAAAGCGAAAAAATCATTGATCAAACAGGTAGCGTACGAAGAGAGTTGGGATCTACGAATACAAATAGAAAATCTATACATACATGTAAGAGAAGGGGAAAAGAGAAAACGAGTTACCACCGTTTATTATAATTTGCTCCGAGTGAGAAGAAACCGTAGTGATTAGCCATGAAGATCTGAAAAGAAATAAACAGATTTCCTGTATTGATTTGTTTTGCAAGAAAATGTATATGCTGTGTTTACTGGGCTTTTGCGATGAACCCGGACAATCCCAGATTTGATTGGAATTGGGGTTAGGACTAATAACGGTCAGGTTTGTCCTTTCAATCTATGATAGTATTTTTTTTACGGTAAATTATGGGAATACATTTACTTTCGTTTTAATCAATTTTGGTTATTAATTTAAAAATTAAGGATAAATAATTTCTATTGTTATCGATCTATGATAAATTATAATAATATTATCGATTCGTTCGGTTTAAGTTCATTATTAATTCTATTAACTCGTATTACGTGATAATTTAAAAATAAAAAAATGTGTCATCTCCGCTTTTTCTTTTTATTCTTCTCAACTCCATTTACGATGAAAACCCCCGTTTCAAGTTCAAAACCATTACAACCTATCAAGTTAAAAAATCTCAGTTGATGGGTTGTGGCTTCGGCTTTTGTGAGTGTTGCATGAATAACCAAGATTGTATTTTTTTTTATTTTGTAGACTGCATCGAAGTTTATGTTGTAAAAATATGAATGAATTGATTATTCAATCATGACTATTCAACATCTCTATTCATAAAAAATAGTTAAGTCTTTTCATGAAAAATAGTTAATTCATTTCACCCAAAAGTCAAGTCTTTTTCATGTTAACCTTTCATCAAAAGTTTATAATTTTTAATCAAATGGTTAAGTCATTTCATTTAAATGTCTTAACATTTCAATACAAATCTCTCTATATATAAAGGCTAAGTTGTGACACATCTCAACACACAATTTTTCCTATTTTCTTTCAAATACTTTCATTTCAATTCTTTGATTCTCTCAAAATCATTTTCCGGTAATAGACAAAGACAAATTGTGTTCGATTGTTCACTACGGTTGTGCTTACTATTGTGAACGTTTGTTGTTGTATCCTGAGAGATCGACATCCAAAGTTACTCAAAGCACCAAAGAGAAGACGAATATGTCTTAAGGAAACTGTTCATACAGGCATCAACAAAACTCTTCTTCTATTTATTCACTTCCATCCGATTATATGTTCTATTTTATTTTCACAAATTTTTTAACTTTATTATCGAAACGAAGTTTTTAGATTATAATACTACAACACTATTTTTCAATATTTGCAACAATCTTAAGACAAATTTCTTGTGTTGTAGTTCAATATAAACTCAAACAAATTACCGTGGTAATATATTTAGGTTAATATATATATTATGTTTCATATTATATTTATTATTTCGGTTTTGATTCCGATTACAGAAAGATGTCTGATACTTCATCCAATTCACAGTCTAATGCGATTGTCGCTACACAGAATCAGTTGTGAGCCAAACGTTACATATGACCATGAGTCATAATGAAAAGTCTGGGAAATTCAATGGAGAGAATTTCAAAACATGGCAACAGAAAATGTTATTTTATTTGACGACATTGAATCTGGCTAAATTTTTGAAGTATGATCCTCCTACATTAGAGAGGATGAAGTGGATGCTGCAACTGCATTCAACATTACCGAAGCATGGAAGCATTTTGATTTCCTATGCCATAACTACATTTTGAATGGTTTATCTGATGCACTTTATGAAGTATACATCGTAAAGAAAACGACTAAGGAACTATGGGAATCATTGGACCATAAATACAAAAGGTGTTATTATTAAACTTTGTAATGGTTGATTTTAAAACTGTTGTGAATCAGGTGTAAGAATTCCAACTGATCATTCATGATATTCTCGCAGATGGGATGATTATAAGTGAATCCTTTCAGGTGGCGGCCATTATTGAAAAACTTTCGCCTACTTGGAATAACTTTAAGAATTATCTTAAGCAAAAGAGAAAAGAAATGACAGTAGAAGATCTGATTGTGAGACTTTGGATTGAAGAAGACAATCGATGTGCGGCTAAAAGGCTAAACAAAAAAGCTAATCATAACATTGCCAAGGCAAATGTGGTGGAAGTAAAAAAAGACTTTAATAAAAGAAAGCACACTCAAATTGAGTATAAACTAGGACCAAAAGGCGATGTTTCTAATAAGCGAAAATTCCAAGTGAAAAGCTTTAATTGCAATAAGACTGGACACATTCATCCGAATGTAGGCTTCCAAAAAGGTCCAGAACAAAATAGGCTAATGTGTTGACAAATATTTCCAAGGAAGTATATGAACTTGAAGTATGCGCTGTGGTCTCTGAAGTTAACTTGGTTGATTCAAATCCAAGAGAATAATGGCTTGATACTGGTGCCACACGCCATATTTGTTGTGAAAATGACTCCTTTGTTGAGTTGGTTTCTTGTGAGAAAGGAGAAAAGCTCTATATGGACAATGTTACAACTTCCAAGATCAAGGGGAAAGGCACTGTAATTTTAAAGATGACTTCTGGCAAAGAGTTGAAACTTCAAAACATGTTGTATGTGCCTGACATATGAAAGAACATTGTCTCTGGGACCCTCCTAAGTATACATGGCTTTAGGATGGTGTTTGAATCCCAGAAGTTAGTTTTATCAAAAGAGGGAATATTTGTGAGAAGGGGATATGTATTGAAGAATATGTGGAAACTCAATGGTATCTCTGTAAAAGCTAAAAATATAAATAATAATGATTCTTCTTCTTATGTTTATAAGATTGAGTCATTAAATTTATGGCATGGTAGACTTGGAAATGTTAATTATGGTACTTTACGTAGATTAATTAACTTAGAACACATTCCCCCATTTCACATTAATTATAATCATAAATGTGAAACATGTGTTGAAGCTAAACTAACAAGGTTTTCATTTAAACCCGTTGAAATAAATACGAAACCTCTTGATATAATACACAGTGATGTTTGTGACTTAAAATTTGTTCAAACTAGAGGAGGGAATAGATATTTTATTACCTTTATTGATGATAGCACAAAATATTGCTATGTATATTTTCTTAAAAACAAAGTTGAAGCTATAGAAAAATTTATTCTCTATAAGCATGAAGTTGAAACCCAACTTAACAAAAGGATTAAGAAGGTGAGAAGTGATCGTGGTGGTGAATATGTTGAATCATTTGGTCAATATTGTGCACAACATGGTATTATTCATGAGGTACCACACCATACTATCCTCAATCGAATGGAGTAGCAGAGCGAAAAAATCGAACATTAAAGGAAATGACGAACGGTATGCTAGGAAGTTCTTGGTTGTCACAGAACATGTGGGGGAATATGTCTTATCAGCAAATTACCTTTTAAATAAGGTGCCCCACAAGAAAAATGACAAGACACCGTATGATTTGTGGATAGGCAAGAAACCTTCCTACAATTACTTGAAAGTGTGGGGTGTCTTGCAAAGGTAATGACTCTTTTATTAAATCAAATGAAAATTGGTCCTAAAACAGTGAATTGTATTTTCATTGGCTATGATCACCACATCAATGCATATCGATTTCTTGTGCATGAATCAATGAATCAAGAAATTCACAAGAATACAATATTATAATCTAAAAATGCCTCATTCTTTGAAAATATATTTCCTTGTAAATTTAGAGAAGTTGGCTCAAGTTCAAGGAAACGAACTTTAGAAGTCAAGACTTCCAACAAGAGGTTGAAGTCGAGATAGAGCCAAGAAGAAGTAAAAGGGCACGGGTAGAAAAATCTTTTGGAACAGATTTTCTAACTATATGATAGAGACTGAACCTGTAACTTATAGCGAAGCTATACGTTCATCTGAAAGTAATTTTTGGAAAGATGCCATCAAAAGTATTGATTCCATCATACAAAATCATACGTGAGAATTAGTGGATCTTCCTCATGAAATTAAACCATTAAATTTTAAATGGATTTTCAAATGAAAAATGAAAGCAAATAGAACAATTGATAAGTACAAGAACGGATTGGTTATTAAAGGGTACCGACAAAAGAAAGGTCTTGATTACTTTGATACATATTCTCCCGTATCAAGAATAACTTCTATAAGAATGATACTTCTAATTGCCGCTTTACAGAATTTAGAAGTACATTAAATAGATGTTAAGACCGCTTTCCTTAATGGAGATCTTGATGAGGAAATTTACATGGAACAACCTGAGGGTTATGTAGGTCTAGGACAAGAAAAGAAAGTATGTAAGTTGGTAAAGTCATTATATAGACTTAAGCAAGCACCAAAACAATGGCATGAAAAGTTTGATAGTGTTATGATATCAAATGGATTTAAAATAAACGAGTGTGACAGATGTGTGTATGTCAAAACCACTGTTGATGGATATGTAATCCTATGTCTATATGTTGACGACATACTCATTATTGGAAGTAACAATGAAATGATAAAATGTACCAAAAATATGTTAAATTCAAAATTTGACATGAAAGACGTGGGACTTGCTGACATGATTTTGGGCATCCAAATCAAAAGGTCATACGAAGGTCTCATATTGAATCAGTCACACTATGTAGATAATATTCTTGAAAATTTTGGCAAGGATAATTCTGGTGTAGTAAAAACTCCGATAGATACAAGTCAATATCTATCTAAAAATAAAGGTGAAAGTGTTAATCAACTGGAATACACAAGGATCATAGGAAGTCTAATGTACCTTATGAGTTGTACTAGACCTGATATTGCTTTCACTGTAAGGAGTTTAAGCAGATTTACAAGCAATCCAGGGGAGAAACACTGAAAAGCAATTTTGAGGGTATTGAGATATCTTAGATATACTCAAAACTATAGATTGCATTATTCTAGAGATCATGTTATGTTAGAATGAATCTCTGATGCCAGTTGGATTTCTGATATTCAAGATACCAAAGGAACAAGTGGTTATATTTTCATATTATGAGGAGGAGCTGTGTCATGGAAATCCTCAAGACAAACAATTATAACCATATCCACGATGGAATATGAGTTTGTAGCCTTAGACAAAAATGGAGAAGAGGCAGAATGGTTATGAAATATTTTGGAGGATATTCCTGAATGGCCAAAGCTTGTGCCCAAAATATGTATATATTGTGATATCCAAGCAACAATTGGTAGAGCACAAAATGTAATGTATAATGGTAAGTCGAGACACATGCGACGTCGACATAATACCATTAGACAAATGGTCTCAACTGGAGTTATCTCTATT